GGGAGGCCTCCCGCGAACTTGTCAGGCGTCCGAGCTAAGATTCCTTCTGAGACCATAGCAAGTAGGTGCATGGTTGCATAACCCGTAATTATTGTATACACATTCCCATTTGTGCCGTTCACCCAGAACATCCCTTGAAGGAATGAACGCCTGACAGCACCCTCATAAATGACCTGCATTGCGAAACATTCAATGTTGGAGCACTTCCCTCAAACTCAGACTATCCTCGAGGTCCTTCATAGCTTGATTCCAAGGTAGACAATCATAGTCCCTGCTGAACACGCCTCTGCTTCTATAGACGCTGCACGTCGCGACGTTCGCACTCGCCGGCGATGGGCAGCTCCGGCAGCAAGCAACAAACCTGAGAGCGAAAGACGACTGTGGGGCCACTGCTACGGGGAGAAGGGGGCGACTCCGCAGAGACGACGTAGAGACGGTAGGAAAGTAGCGACGTGCAAGGACAGACTCGTCATGCTCACTTCGTGTCTGCATCTGACCCTGAGCCGCCTGAGAAGAATATATTACCCACAGCATGGAGAATCAAATGAAGAAATGACTACCTACAGTCATGGAAACTCAAATGGAAAATGAAATGGAAACGGGTTTATGGGGATGCACAAGCTCTAGGGTTTAGGGATTATATCAACACTATATTGCACGTCTTCTTGGCTTGAAAAATGCTCGGCCTACTAGCTTCTGTCATCTATCGCAACATGATGGTGGCATCGTAGGCCACAAGCTCGCCTCACGAAAAGCTTTGGTTGTCCCCCCCTTCTCCTCATGTTGCTATCATTATTACTACTATTATTCCTAGTATTATTATCAAGCCTAGGCATGAAGCTTGCATAGTGACTGAGACTGGAGCCGGTGGCTGGCACAACCCCCAGGGAAGACTTCAGGGCAGAGCTACCTGGTGAGAAAACTTAGGTGCAAAGGGCTTCCTGCCTGCAGAATGATAAGAATCCTTACGGTTTGGAGTCTGGAGTGGCAATTCTCATATTCCGCCTGTTTACACCACTCACGGAATCGTTCGTAGCTCTGACTTAGGTGGCCATAGGAGTATGGGGCAAATCAACATGTCAAACCATTTGCTGCAAAGCAGTCCATTTTTCCTAGCCATGCGGCAACACCAGGGCTTTCAACATTTATGGGTCCCGTTTCGGGAGGGTCCACCATAAGAAGGATTCGAAAAAATCTGGGATAGATCTAGGGCACCCCTAAGTGTGGACATGCCCTAAAATTAAGTACCACACCAAACACCGTGCCATGCACTCCTGCAATCCCTAAACCCTATATAGATCCCGAAAAACCAAGTTTCCGTGTCACTTTCCATTTGATTTCCCAGTATTGTGGGTGACGTCCCTATAACTCACATGATCTGGTTATCGCCATGAGGGATGCCAAAATCACCAAACTCTGTACCCAATCAGACCTGTCCACCCCGAAAACCGACTTGGGTTACCCAAAATGTTCTAACGTCCTGAAATCCTACATGAATCCAGGCCAAAGACTCAAAGACTTTCGAACCCGAAAGCCGAGGACAAACCCAAGCGTCCTGAAATCTTGAGAAGAATCATTTGGGGAGCTTCCAGCAAAATAGGGAACATGTCCAAAAAAAAGGAATCAACTGGAATAACTCTACTTTTCAGTCAGGCTCTGACATGATGCTGTTTGAGTGGCTTTGAGTGGGGAGATTTGGCCTAAGCCCAAAGAAGCCCTACACTATTTTAGGGTTTACGGTTTAGAGTTTATATCCAGATTTTCCTGATTTAAGGGCTCTATGCGAATGCCTGGAGCAATGCGGCGCCCAAGCTGCCCAGACAGCGACCTGGTAGCAGCGGAAGGCTCCTGAGGGCGGCATGGCTTACTGGCGGTTAGTAGGGAAGAAGGGAAGATTTAGTATGTAGAACGGAATTATGAGTTGGGCATGGACGCTCTCCTAATTGCACTCACTAGAACACGAACATTATTATGGTTTGGGCATGGATGCACTCGCTACCGTCCAGTATGCACTTGGAACACGAGCGCAATTATGCTTTGGGCATGGATGCTCTCCTAACTCCTAATCGCATTCACTGGAACACTGGGCCAGGATGCACTGATTACCGTATGCTTTTGGAACACGAACGGAATTATGCTTTGGGCATGGATGCTCTCCGAATCGACGCACTAGAACACGAACAGAATTAATGATGGTTTGAGCATGGATGCACTAGCTACCGTATGCTCTTGCAAGACGAACGCTATTATGGTTGGACATGGATGCACTGGTCACCGTGTGCTCTTGCAACACGAACGGAATAATGGTTTGGGCAACAATACACTGGTTACCGCATGCTGTTGGGACATGAGCGGATGATGGTTTGGGCATGGATGCACTACTTACCGTAGGTTCTTGAAACACGAAAAAAATTCCCACAGCACGTCACGAAAACCCCCCCGCATACCCCCCATGTAGGGTTTGTACCACAGCGGAATATGAACTGTGCACCAACGACTCCCCAATATAACCCCGTAAATTCGAATTCAATACACAGTCAATACAAAAAACTAACGTGGCAAAGAGTTGCCCCTGCGAAATGACGAGCTCATTGTTCGTTATAGGGAAGCCAACCAACAAAGGAAGACAAACACCTTGTCTGCAGAACTTTCTTCGATCTGAAACTTCTGAAGATCTTTCTTGAGCCGCCCATCAAGTTGCAAGCCCATCAGTTGCTGCATCCAACGATGAATAGCCTGCACGGCTCCCGCACGAAATGACACCCCACCTCACCTTGATTAATTGGTATCCTCATTCGGAAAGCATCAAGCATGTGTTGCCGTTTGGATCGTTTGGCTTCTGCAAAAAAGCAATGGCCTGCTCTCAAGATGCAATGTACTGCAAACATCAACTTACACTCCAGTTCCGCTTGGTTCGGCACCTTCAATAGATCGTCATGACCTGGACTCTTCGACTGCTCTCGCGTCTGAAGTGAGGGAGCTTGCATGACGGATCAGCTCTGAAATCCTGTATCTACTCTCTCGGAGCGGTCCTTCAGAGACACAGGTCCTGCTGGAGCCAATGCCATGGCTTTGCGTTGGGTAGTGTCGCTACAGCACTAGGTGCAAACAACAGCCTTTGCTAGTAAGACAAAGGCAGTCTCAGCAAGAAGAGTATGACGTGGCACAGTTCAAGCCATGCTGTCGCATTTGCCAATTGCTGTTAGATGCCGTTAGATAGCTTTCAATCCTGCCCATCGAGTATATGAAGCCCTGAAAAATATGAAGGCCTTTGTCAACCACACGGCAAACTGGAGACTGCAAAGCTTCCAAGGCACAGTCCGAAGGAGTCCACATACGCAGCAGTAGAATTATGGAACCATGGCGAACCTCCTCTGAGACACGTCATGGATTCTACAACTTTGGATGTCAAGAAGCTTTCTGAATTGCGGTTCATGCGCAAGGAATATTAGGATCAGCAGCCGCCCAGAACTTGTGCACCTGCAAGTGCTAGTCCACGCCTCATGATGTTCAGAAGCCGTCCCGCAACAGAATTCTTACCGCATCAATCAAGAACCATAAGCTGCTGTCGGGCAGCTGCGTTTTGCGCTTAATCCGAATCCCAGCCGTCTCCCATACAGGAGCTTCAGTCTCCACAAGCTTTGCGACCATTTTTGCATGCAGCGCGAGCTCACAAGTGGGAAGTAGTTCGCTACTCGACGCAGGACTCACCCTGCCCTAGCTGCTAGATGCAACCAAACCTTCCAGCCTTGTGTTCACTGATATGTGAGGCAGCGAGGAGGGTAATAGTAGTAGCAGTATCAAGCTCCACTGACTGTGCAACATTCCCACCCGTCTGTAATTAAATGTACCAAGACAGACACTGCTCAAGAACAGACAGTGGCACAGGTGTTGTACATAGGGGGAGACCATGCTTGAATCCCACAAGCAAACCCAATAAATGCTGAATCCCAAACCTAAACCCTCAACCCTAAACGTCTGTAGTTGTTGAATTCGGCCAAGCTGGCGTCAGCTTGCAGCCTCCATGGCCTCGAATATCTCACTGATTGGGGTTCTTGGAATGGAGATGCCTTTAGGTATGTGGAGGACACATAGTCCCTACGAAGGATGATGTGTTGGATATTTTGAGAAAGAGTTAGAGCGTAGAGCATCTCACATGAAGGGCGGACTCAAACTACCACTGGGGCAGCGATCCAGTCCTAGTCAGATCCTGCGTCCATGAACTTCCACATAGTGGAAGTAAGAGAACCCACAGATCTGGGAGAGGATCATGCAGAGGTTCCCTTTAAGGCCTCTTGGGTGGCAATTTCGAGAAACCCCATATCCCCGACAACGAGCTGATAGGATCGGGGATAAGCAGGAATGAAGTAGGACATATACAGGTACATTGATTGGCTATCCCTGCACTTGGTTCAGACTTGAGATGCTTTGAAGGGATGTGATCGCGGCCTTTCTCTCTAACCCTATCAGCTAAGAGAACGCGCAAACTCACTCTGGTTGGAGCTTGATGGAAATCCTATGCTACGGTTGCTGCAGTTCCATGCGTGCGGTTGTATGGGGGCCTCGATAGCTCTGCAACTACATTGCCGACAGGAATCATTTCTGCTCAACACGTTGTCATTCCTGTGGCCCTGGCAGACACGGCTTCTCCATCCTCAGCCTGCAACTTCACGTATGTCCTAGGCTGACCCTCGCCCTATACCGTGCCCGGATCGTTAAGACTCTTCACGGCTTCACAAACACATGCAGGCACGGCACCCTGGCTTTTTGGGTCACACCATGTCACCATGTCACACCGCACCGTTAACTGACGCTGCCAAACAGCCAATCGCAGGAGACACAATGACATCGAAGCCAGGGAGGAAAAACTGGCGGTATGTATTCCGCTCCTCTGACTGTGAGACGGCATATGCCAACCTGTTGCTTGCCAAAAATTTCCTAAGGAAGCCTCGGGCCGAGCTCACCCCTGGGGCACCCTAGGAACGAACTTCACGGCTGTCTCACTGTGCTCCGCGGTTTGTGGCCGAATGCTCCCGCATCACCTGCTTGACAGGCGTGGCGAGCCAAGGGCGGCGACCAAGCGCTTCCTGTAGTACGTGCGTCAGGTCCTCGTCATTAAGTTGCCTCGGAGCACATTGAGACCAGCAAGTCTAAGTTCAAGGTAGCAGGGAGCGCCTTACTATTCGACAGCTCATGAGACTCATGAAAGCAGTCATGCCAACATGACGGCCAAGATGCAAAGTGCATAGGAGAAGCTTTGCTGGAGGCAACTTGGACTTTGCTTCCTGCCTGCCCTCCTGCAATCCCAGGTCCTGGTGTATGTTTAGCAGCCGTTAGGGATTCTAGGATACGTAGGGAACACAAGGGGAGTCTGCAAATGGGATTCTTAAGAAATACCCAAGTAGCCTAGGCCCAACGCTGTGTTTGGAGGCTCAATAACGTGGGATGCGGAAGCGGTGCGAAGCGTACCATTCTGTCGACTCTGAAAAAACGGATGTCTGATTGGCTGAGCAGACAACTCATTGGACAGAGTTGTATGGTGAAGTCCCTGGCAGAATCATGAAGGATGCCACGTGACAAGGGTTCTACAATTTTTGGCGGCGTCTTAATAGTGGGGACCAATAGTAGGGACCTTTCAATTTGTTCGAGGATGTGCAGGTTGAACTGTGCAGATGCAGGTTACATCGCAACACCATGGCTTAGATTGGGGCTGCCATCTTGACCAACCAGTGGTCAATTCAATCGCTCCGAAGGTTTGGACCGCCAACCGGAGCCAATTCTCTGTGACAAGTCTCAAATTCATCAAACGTTGCGCGCCACCTTGAACACACAAGCGAAACTGCTCACACAGAAGTTACATGGCGGTTGCACGCTGCTTCTGGCCGGCATTTTTCTTCTAAAGCGCATAGGGCATCCGGGCTCTGACTGCCTCGTCTCCTGTGTTTGCCAGCGCTGCTGCAGCAGTGGCAGCAACAGCAACAACAACCACAACAACAGAAACAACTGCAGCAAAACAACGACAGCACCAAAAACACCGACAGCGCCATCAGCAGTAGTTGCAGCTGCGACGACGACAACAATTACCACATCCCCAACCACCACAACCAACGCCAGCACCAACACCAAAGTCAACAACAGGTAACAACAGCATCAGCAACAGCAACAACAGCGGCAGCAGGAGTAGTAGTTCAGTATTTGGCTGAGGTAGGAGTAGGCTGTGCTGGGAGTAGTAGCCATAGCCACTATGGTTCGCCTCTTCATGCCCCAAACATTGGAGCCGCCAAGCTAATCGGATAAAACAACTTTTGATAAACCTCGCCTCGACCACTGCTGCTGCTATGGCCGTGGCTGTGGCCTCTGCTGCATCCGCAGCGGCGTTCGCCTCGGGCGTGGGCCGCGCTTCCTTCCAGGACTCCCAATCACAAATGGGGAGCAGAGTCTTGGGGCTAGATACTGTTGCCGGGTCTTGAACTGAAGGCATGGGGAAAGATTGGCTTGAGTAGGGTTTGTTGGATTCGGGATGTTGGAATCCGGGCAGCCATCAGGATCTAAACACAGAGGCGTTGCTTATGATAAACTTTTGAACAAAAAACCTCAGAAACACCCAAATCAGCAAAGTTGCCCGGCTCGGCTTTGCTGATGCCATCTCGGGAATCTTGATGGGCATCTTGTTTGCAGTCTGGCAGGGAAAATGCGGTTCTAGCTGCAGGGACCCTCAGAAAAGGATTCTGAATGCCTGATAAAGCCAGTGTTGCGAGGAGCTTCAGCTGTGGGGTTTGCAACTTGCATCCTACTTGCTGTCTCGAGTGTGGTAGCTCAGTCAGTGTGTGCTGAATCTGCGGTTTCCAAGTCTTGCATTTCCGCGTGGATTTGCTTCCAGCGGGTTGCCTGATGATCAATATGCAACTCAATGAAATGATGAACGGGCAGCAAAGCAATCAACCGACTATTCAGAGTTTCTGCCGCAATCCGCCTCCTTAGGCTGCATCTCCACAGGATTCGTGGCATTTTGGCCCATGCTACCCAGTCCCGGGGGCATCACGAACTCCTCGGCCATGTCGGGTGCCGGCAGTTGCGCGTAGGCACTGCGGCTGGGGACATTGAGCTGCACGGGCTGGATTCCAGATTTGCTCGACCTTTCCTGTGGCACAGGTGAGGTGCCCAGGGGCTTAACCCAGTTTCCGGGAGCCATCCCGGACATGCCATGCCACCAGCTGTTTTCTACTGGCACATCAAGTCCAGAAGAGGTCAAAGAAGCCATATGCGGTGATGCAATCTGAGGCGAAGCCATGGATGACGAACTCATAGGTGCCGAGCTTTGCATTGCTGCAGCTGACCGCTGTACTGTGAAACATACTCTCTGAACGTCAACATCAAATTCCTGCGCCATCCTTGGCAGGGAGGTCCATGCATTGATGCCATTGGCAGCAACAATAAGGTCCCCTTTTTGAATCTGTAGGGGCCATTGATTGCGCCTGTTCCATTGATCTACATAGCTCCCGTTAGCTACCTGTCCCACGAGTAGGCCACAGGAGCCATGCCCGGTCACGAGCATCACATCGATGCCGAGCTTGGTGCCCAGTGGCTTCTCAATGTCCACCTGAAACGTGAAAGGCTGCCCCGAGGGTGTGGGTTGTTGCCTGCGACTTTGACTCTCGTCCTGCCAAAGGCCGCTATTTGCAAGATCCATGTCATTTGCGCCGCCATACGGCGGAAGCCTGGATGGTGGCATAGAAAGAGCATCCTGCATGTGGATGCCCCTGCTAGGAAGACCGACCTCGCCCCCACCAAGGCCCATCTTTCCACCAAGCTGCCCAGTCGCAGCACCGGTAAGATCCGGAGCCCTCCTCCTCAGTAATGTTACGAGAAGTTCGGACTTCGCTCTCATCTCTTCCATCATGGCCTTTATATCACGGAAGACGCTGTTCACACGGACGATATAGTCCCCGGGCTGTATGGTGAATGCAGTGCCTTCACACTGGCAATTCCAGGCAAATACGACCCCGCCCTGGAATACCTGCTTGACCATCAGGCAGGCGACTTCCGGTGCTGGCAGCATGTCAATCCCCAAATATGCTCCATAGGGCTTGTGAAGAGTCACTTCAAAAGTGAATCCTTCGGGGGTTGTCTTGCTAGGTGGTTCTGGCATGGTTACTGCCGGCGTAGGTATGCGGCCACAGTGCTGGCCTAGGCCTTCCACTTGCCGTGGGTTTGCAGCCATTCTTGTCATGGATCCTACTGCGGACTGGAGCATGGGGCTTGCACGCTCCACCGGTGCTTGTGGCACCTGCGAGGTGGGTAAGAATTGCGAGTCTAGCAACTGCTTTCGCAGAACCGTAATGCGAAGTACGTCCTGAGCACTTCGCAATAGATTAGAAATAGCATCGGCATCATCTTGCACCCCATTGGCACTTGCGATGAGATCTCCTGCTTGCACGCGATAAGGCCCAACAGCATTGCGATTCCACTCCTCAATCAAGCCACCGGGCCTCACCTTCTCCACCACTAGCAAGCTCCCATCCAATTTAGTCTTGGCAAGGATCAAGTCTATACCCAGTGGCGTGTCTGGTGTCCGTCGCAGCTCAACCTCGAAGGTGAACTCGTTCTGCATGACGCCCCTCAGCGCATTCCACGATCTAAGCCTGAAAAAATTCAACTATGACGCTAGTTGCTCTACAAATCGTTTGAGCCTGCAAGTGCAGTGAGTCAAGGAGAACCATTGCAAGACACCCTGCCAATAAATTGGCCACAGCTCATGTTGCAACTTGAAACACCAGAAGCAGCGCATGAACACACTGCGGCATCCAAAACAAAAGTAGAGGGGTGGCGGCGCGTGTCAACAAGATCCCAGCGCAGGCGCGGCGCTCATGATGCTCATGTCATGCGCTGGTCTCATGCCGTTACACGGGCTCAGCTCTCTGAATCCAAAAAGGGAAACTTGCAGATGCGACGATGTTGTTGATAGAGAGAAGCGCGGCGCTTTTCCTTCTGGTCTCCCCTTTGTCTTCCTTAACAACTCTTCGCATACATGCCTGGCGGTGGACGCGTCGCCGCACAGCTGGACCATCCTGCGTCTGGACATGTCTGGACTCTGCAAGCGCTTGGGTTTGGGACGGACAGAGTTCCCAAGAATGGCTGGGGGGGAAGAGTTCTCAAGATTATCCAATGTTATCCAGGTTCTTCTCATTTCTTCCACCTGAGAGCACGTCCTCCCCCAAACTAAACAATCAGCTGTTGAGATGAGTTTTCATCAGTAGGTGGGGCATAAGCAATATTGAGGGATTGATCCCTCATGTTTGCATCATTGCAAAGATGAGGGCAGAGAGAGGGCTTCAGGCTTATTCTGGTTGATTGCACCCAAGCGAAATCTCCATTTTCAATAGACATACGTTCGGGTTGTTGCTGCCGCCTATTGCAGGAATACAGCACTAGAGCTGGTCAGTAAGTAGATGCATGTGCTGCGTCGAGAGCCAGTTTTGGTCTGTTTCCTAAGTGAGGAACCCTCAAACACTAGATTGTTCGGCGGAAGCTTCCAACTGCGCAACGGGCCCTGACAGCACTGTCTGGAGGCATCCATCTCGAGTGCGTTGGGCAGAGCAGACATCACATGAAGTCGCAAGCCCAAATTTATCCTCAAAGCGGCGGGTATGGATGCTATAAAGGAAAGATGCATTGCCTCTAGGGTTAAATCAGAATGACCACCATGTCTTAATGGTTCGAATTGCGCTGGTCACAGCCATTCTGTACAGTGTCTCGGCAACTGCCTCTACAGCCTATATCCTTTATGCTGCGATCTATATAGCAAAGCCGTCTAGCCACGGTTCGATCAGATTGCTTGTTAGGCTTATCAACAAAAGCAGTTCGATGGGGCTCGGGGACGAGGCAGTCGCTACTTGTTCAGCCTTCACGAACAAGTCTCAAAGCTCACACTGCGTGCGCAGATGTGGGTAACTTTCATCATCCTTGTGATGGTGTGATTTCTATCTCTGTACATGGGCATTGGCGCTAAGAAAAACTCATGCAGATTCCTGTAGCATCCTCTAGAGAGCTGGACGCCAGCAGACCCTTCTGTCAGGTAATGTCAGGCACCTCAGTTCTCCTCTGCTCGAATCCGGTTGCGAGCCAAGGGCCTTCTGTCCCCAATGGAGGGCTCGCCCGGGCGGACGGAGGCCAAAGCCAGGGTGGGTCCATCTGTGCTGCGCTTCTCGACAAGCGGGCCCTCAACTGACAAAGGGAGTCGGGGCACTGGAGGAGGTTGGGCTGCCAAGACTGGGCCCTCAGAAAGCCGGAAGCTGGGTGGTGCCGACAACATCCTTGGCTTCAAGCAAGGCAGGCACGTAAGGGATCCATGTCTGCTGCATACACTGCCATCTTCGTAACAGCGTAACTATGACATCGAGAGTCTGAGGGAAGTAGCCATGTGGGCAGCCAGTATAGGCGGGACTTGCTGACACCATACCTCAGACCCTAGTCCTCACGCAGAAACTCCAGTCACCCTAGCTTGCAACATGGGGAAACCCATGACAAAATGTCATACCACCAAGGTTCAAGAAAAATGAAGAAAGTCCTGCAATCAAGCAGTCAGGTACGCTGGGGTTCCCTGGCAGTGGGCAGGTGGGTAGAACCAAACCCTGCCGCGCTTGTCTGTCTGGGATGACCTCGGCGGTGGCAAATGGAAATGCTTGCTCTTCAAAAGTTGCCGCTTGGCTGTACTGCTTGCATCCTAGATCCCATGTAATTATGGCAAAGAGCTTGGAACTGAGAAGGACTGGCTCTTCTGCTTCAGTCCTGAGCACGCAAAGCCGCTTGATTCAATTCTTTCTGCGATCTGCGGGTGCCAAGCAGGTGGTGTAGACTGAACATTGCTCTCCCGCTGAACGCGGCACATGCCTTGCTGGAATCTGAATGCTCCAAGCCTACTGGGCTAAGGCTATGACAGCATCTCCAGCCCTACAGACTCCTGCAAGCCCTGAACTCCGGGAGGATCAATTGGATTTGAGGCTCACTTAGCTAAGCGCCTGGTCCCAACTTCCCGCGAAGTTAGCTTGCATCGACACTTCAGCTGTGGCTCCGGGAAGTGAGTAGCGGAGCTGTGCATCTCGAGCAAGGTCGAACCTGTGCCAATGATCCCCTCATTGCATCATTACCCTAGACTCCTAGACTGACCCCTTGCGTGATCTTGAGAAAGAAATGCCTTTCCATCCTAACTCGGAGCAGTCCCCCCTTCAACCTGTCGAGCTTTGTCTGAGCCGGTGAATTGCTGCTGGCATCAACTGCTTGCTGTGCAATTGGAAGGTTTCAGCTGGACCCGGAAGCGCCATTAGAATCGCCTACAGAAAGCATCTCAAGGCCTCATTGGCCGCCTCACAAGGCTTTCTTGCTTCAGCAGTTGAGGGTTTACGGTCTGAAGACACCGGTCCCACGGGTAGAGAGCTGTGCCCCTTCTGATAAAATGTGCCAGAAGCCCAAGACCAAAGATGTGTTCCTCTCTCTAGGACCTAGGAGGTACAGGTGCTCCCAAGCAATTCCCCCTTTCTGCACACCAAATATCAGCGAGAGGCGTGGGCTGCTTCATGGGCTGCATAGGCAAATATGGCGGCTGGCTCATAGGCGCGCTCATCCTGCAAGGTCGACAAGTGTAGCTGCTCGGACAGACTGGTGTGAAGTACCTGCTCAAGTTTCCACTGGCAATCCTATCTCCCCTTTCTTGCATGAGGATGCATCAGATCTTGGGTCTTCCATACTGCCTATGGCTTAGGTCCTTATGCAAGCCACTGAACTCCTTGGCATGGCCGGTGCTTGGCACGGCTGCGGTGCGCTGGGGCAAGGATCCTAGCAGCTGATAGAGCTAGCAGTTGCCAAATGGAAGTCCTACTGTCAACATTTATCAAGATAAGCGACGAAGTCTGCAAGCTCAGGGAACACCGGCGCTTCGGAGCCACATGGATGTGCGAGTGCACGTTGGCTGGTCGCCTGGGAGCTTATGCAAAGCCGAAGCAGGTGAGAGAAACCTGGCCAAACTAAGCCACAAGCCCAAAACATTTCTCCAAGTGGACAAGCTGCTTTGGGACTGCCGAGAGCTGACAACTCAGAAACCGCTCGTACATGCTTGGTATGCGCTATATATATATATATCGCCCAGCCCACATGGGCCTCCCAAGTGGAGCGGCTGAGCACTTCCTGTGCCGGAGGCGATGCCAGGGCATTCTTGGCGGCAGACCTCACAGCAATTGGGCTCCCTTTTATAGCTTGCGGTGCAAGATACGGGAAGCTGAAAGCTATTCATTTCACACGTGTCGGAGTCTCCCTCGGTCTCAGATATCTTGTAGCGGCGGGACTGTGAATTACGGAGTGCAGTGCCCTTCTGATTTGGAATCCAAGAGTTGCAGCTACCATGCGTTGCCAAAGGGCCTGATTGCGCCTGCTGCAGAATCCGCCAGCGAAGTCCTCAGTAAGACTTGGTTGGCGCGCAGAGTTGATGTGAAACAAAAAATGACACCAAAACAAGGCCAAAGAAACCGAACCCCAAACCCTCAAACGCAAAACTCCCTGAAACCCAACCCTATCTTAGACCTCAAATTCTTACACCAAAAACCCTCAAATCCTTACGCCCCCCTCAAGTGAAGGCTCACATGAGGCTCCGCAAGCTCTGCCGCCTTGAGGAGCGATGTTGCGAGGAAGCGAGCGGCCTCCTGGGAGCCACTCCATGCGGCCTGCGCAAATTGGGGGTTCTGGTCAGAAAATAGGGTTGATGAGGAGTGCATGTTATTTTAACATGTTTGGGTAGCTCTCATGCTTTGCATGTTTGGGCGGCTCAGGTGACGACATGGGAATTTTTGCAGCGGGGCAGGATGATCAATCCAGGGTTGCTACGAGCTGCTATGTTGTTTAGCTTTGGCAGATATGGTACGTCGTCGATCGCCGTCGCTGCTGCCTGAATCCATGACTACATCGCGATTGTAGTGGTTCTTGCCATCCTTGCGGATATCGTTGATGCGGACTTGAACACAACAACATCCTGTGGGATTGCTGGCAGTGTGCCATTGCCCGGCTGTGGGGCCAACGGCCAACGCTGGGGTCTCCTGGCATTGGCTCTCGCATCATGGCAGGTGAGTATCCAGACCGTCCAGACTGCGGCAGCGCATGTTGCAAAAACTTCCCGCCCGATCAGCGTTGGCCATACTGTCGTGTTGGTCTGTTGTACCACGCACCTGGAATGTTGTATGCTGGAGGTGTTTGGCTCAGGGGCCTCTTAAATGCCTCAAGCAGGAGGATCTTTATGGACGAACTCCACAAGGACCGTTCACTTTCAAAGACCTTCGGATGGTGTTGCAAGTCTCCTCTGCGTTCAGGGCCCGTCTCTGCTCATCAGCAGGTTACAGATGGAAAGTAAATCTCAAGTGCACAGGGATAATATGGGATAATCTGAATATGCTAAACATTAGAGCTTTTCCTGGAAGAGGCAACAACTGCTTCACAGCATCAAGCGCGCGCTAGACTGCTAGACCAGTGCCTGCCCCATTCTGGCAGAAAGGTTCAAAAAGTCGTCGGTATCCTGACGAAAAACAAGAAAAGGGCGACCCAAGAGTTTGGTAAAGTTGGCAGAGCTTCACATGGCCGATTGCATTGAACGGAGACCCACACATCTGTTGCCAAGCATGGCCCTGCAACTACAACCTAGAGGCGCGTTCCATAAATAAAGGGCAGTCCACATCAGAATAAATTAGTGCGTGGTGCGGAGGGTGTTGCTGTCACAAGACAACCATCACGCCCTGCCTGCCCTGGGCACAAGGCCCAATCACAACTAATGAAATCTGAGCAGAGTTTCCCACTCTCGAAGCGCAGGTGCTGCAGTGCAGCAATCCAAACGATTTCGAGGCGTCGAGTGCGCGGATCCCTCTTCTTCGGAGACATTGCCCTAGGTCTTTGGCAAAAAATGATGAGGCTTGGCTTTGAGAAGGATGGCGAAGGGCGGGATCATGTCTAGGGGAGGGCATTATCTCTCAATCATCCCAAGGCGCAGCAAGATTTCATTAGCACTTAGTCGAACTAGCTGGACTACACGATCGCAGCTAGGCCACGGTTGTCATAGCCACGGTTGAGTTCTCTGCCTCTTCCGCCTCCCGCAAGGCTACATGAAGGTCTGGACTTGCTGGCCTACAGAAACGTACATGACAAGGAATCTAGGGCAGCCTTGAGATAATCCTGACCCTCTGTAGCAGATGCTCTCCAAGGATTCGAGAAGTTACATGACGCTATGGTACTGGTACATATACTTGTTCGTGACCAAAGAGATCCAATGCACGCACAGGTATTATTTGATCGCCCGCCTCGTCCCTGTCAGCTTTTTCAGGGAGATCCTTTCCTGCCATGCACACCTGCGGTGGCAAGGATGGATTGCTGGAATAGCACTTGAAAACCCAGCCGCCTGCAATGAGCTAGAACTGAACATGTCGTGCCCCACTCTTGCTTCAATTATTTGCTCAAGCCTACAAGAACCCACACCGTTTGGATAACATTTTCCGTGCTGAGATCGCAAGATGCAGCAAAATCAACCCCAGCACCAGCCGGAGCTCTTTTATTTTGTGCGGGGGCTAGAGTTAGCGCCTACGACAAAGGCCCAAAGTCTGCAAACTACTCCCAGATCCACAGCAATCCTCCATGAAAGCCTGCCCAGCCTTCGGTACCTGGGTCTCGGCCTTGGAGGTCAAGAGCGTCGGCATCTCCTGGGTCTCCGCTTCCTTAGATGAGCGGAAGGCAGTCAGCAGGAAACGATTTCTCAAACTGGCTCTCGTGACTTTAGCTAATGCAGCTATCGAACAATCAACAAAGACTTCCAAAATGAGCTTAGGATGAGGTAAGATTGGGGTAATATTAGGGCTATATTGGGGTTCTCTCTCTCTGCCGTGCCATCATATTGGGTTCATACTGGCATGATGGAAAATAAAAATGGAAACTACTATTTAGGCTGCAGGAGTAGAGCCAGCCTCACGAGGTCGAGGCGCGTTGGTGGCACTAGACTGGGAGCGCGAGATAAGGGCTGGGGACTCTGCGCGCGGAACCTTGGCCAAGGGCCCAGAAAAATGAATTGGCTTTTCAATCTTTTGAGATGATGACTTCAGATCGCTTCCCAAGATTTCCCAAGAATATTAAACGAGGTCCCCCCCTGATATTAAACAATCCGACGAACAACTTTAAAACCCGTCAGCCAGTTGTTCAGGGTGTGAGGTCAACTGCCCCTTTTGCATGCTTTTGCATGCTTTTGCACTTGCATCCCACCTCCGCTGCGAGCGGGCCCTCTTCCGGCAGAGCCTGCAATTTTGCGATTTCAGTATCAGCAGCTACCACCATGTATCTTTGGCGCAGATTCCTTCTCCTTCACATGAACAGCGTTGAGGTCTGCCAAGGCCCACCAAAAGCCAGAGGTCTACAAGAGGTCTTAAGGGGTGTAGGCTATCTGCTGAGGTGAAGCAACGGGCTGCGTTGACCGGGCCATGTTTGGCACTTTCTTGTGCGTGTGCATGTTCATGTCTTGAGGAGTTAACTAGTCTCATGGGTACGCACCAACCCTCTCGGCACATTGGACAACTCTGAAAACCGTGAGCCCATAATCTTAAGGCTGCCTCCGCTTCTGCTGCCTCCGCTTCCGCTGCCTCCGCTTCCGCTGCCTCCGCTTCTGCTGCCAGCGGTCCCGCTGCCAGCGGTCCCTCTTCCGGGACAGCCTGCAATTTTAAAATTTTGGCGTCAGCTTTCTGCTTTTTTACGGTAACTGCTGGTGGGCGGCAACGTCGGCAATTGCAATTTCTGACCACCTCCCTCCATGCAAAGTGCAGAGTAATAGCGTGCTGCTGGCCGCCTCCAGGATGAAGGGATCCACTCCAACCTGGGTCATTTGCACGTTCCCTGACGTGATGGGTGCCCCTGGCCCTCAGCGCAACAACCTCCAATTTTGCCAAAGAATCCCACTCCATTCGCATACAATCCCCATGCAAACCCAGTGCTTCTTAAAATGCTACTGCCGCCTCACGGTTCTGGTCGGCCACGCGAGGCTTCTGAAGCCCCGCGAGGCATTCACGCAATCCTCCATGTCAGACTTAAGCAGTCATGGAATTCTCAAAGTTTACCGTGTTTACCTTTTGTGGTGTTGCAAGCTGTTGTTTGGACTTCTCGCAAGCACAAACACACTGTTTCTTACAGGCATCATGGGATTTGGGGAAGATGCCACGGCACAGTGATCTTCGCGGAATTGTAATAGTCGCACCACTTTGTGGGATCTGCTACTGCTTAGTCTTGAGTCTTGAACACTGCTATGGCTGATTTTGATGTATGAAGTGGAAGCAACTGGCCACCCTTGGTGTTGCAGAATCACCATCCCAATTACCCAATTACTTGCGGCAAGCACAAGCAGAAAGCACCAGCACAATTCCCGCAATATGGCCATGATGACCATGCTTGTGTTGCCAGTTGTGTGCTCTCTTCTCGCATTCGTACAGTCAAGGCTACACCGTTTTGCAAGCATGTGATTGCTGTCCACCCTGCCCAGAGAGGGCTTCCGAAGAACTCCATCTTGGTCGATCTTAATGGCTATGTTGAGATCCCGCAAGCATAGTTTGACACTAGACTTGCTGCTGCAGGGAGGGAAGGCCACTTCCACCCACGCTCCTTCGAGCTGGGCCGCGCAGCCGCTGGCACAGGTGGTCGTCGGCATTGCGCTAATGACTCAGAAGATGGTCCAACTTGACAGCTACGGTTTTGTCTGAGAGCCTGGAAGTAGGCGCGACAATTAGCCCTCAAGCTTTGCCCGCGGCCCACAGTTAGCATTCGCAGTTCCTATAGTAACACGAAGCAGAAACTCAGTCTCCATAAGCCAACCCTACACACTCCGACCCATGTTCGAACAACACACTCTACACTCTTATGCCTGACCAGTGCCTTAGGGAGCAGGCCAGTCATAACAAAACACTCAAGCATTCCTCGATTTTCAGCCTTGCTGTACGAAGCAGGTGCAAACATTTTGTTGCTGGAAAGCCCATGTTAGAACACTGTTGCATCCAATCAGCTTGTGCTACCTTCGCAAACTTCTCCATGAGATGGCTATCATCCTGAAGGCAGTCGCGCGGGTCAGCTTCGGGCCAGGCGTCGTGATAATAGTGCTGTAGTCTGATTTCATGCAGCCTTCAGGATAGTAAAGGAATCTCGTTCTTGTCCTCGTCCTTTCCACCGCGTCATAGCTTCCCTTGCACGAAGCAGCCACGGCAACAGAACCCCGCCGCGGCAAGGGCTTGAGCACGGCTCGGCATTGCTGGTGACCACGAGGCGCGACCCAGCAGTTGCAAACAGCGCATCAAGTGTCTCCGTGGTGCACAAAGCATTCAAGTTGTGGTCGACTGCAAAAGTTTACCCTTTCCAGTTTCTGAGGCCAATCTGTAACTTCCAGAGGTGTCACTGGCCACGTTCTCTGTGGCTCGGAGCTGGGCCAGCAGGGAGAGCTGCGCCGAACCAATCCGAAGCACTGCCTTAAGCAGCGCGAGCTTGTGGTGGCGGCTTATGCGGCTTTATGGTGACCAGTTTCTACTGACGCTTCGCTGTCAACTTTGCCTAAATTTGCATAGGAATGCCGCTGCAGGCTGATGTGCCTAGAATTTAGAGTTGATGTATGCCAAGGCTAGCAAACCGATTACTCCAGCTTTCGTCGCTTCGTGAGCCAACTGCAACTTCCAACAAGAAATGCAGGGCAGGTGCCTTCGTGGTGTTGGATGCCGCATGAATCAGGCGATAAACGGGAAACTCCACTTCACCCACCTGGGTATACTTCGAGTCATATCAAACAGCCAAGCTGTGCAAATATGCTGGCAATGTTGCAGAGAAGTGCCAGGATACATAGGAGTATATGGAGCCGAGCTGAATGCTAAAGCTTTTTCGAGCCATGTCACAACATTTCCCACCCCAGGTAATCCACCGCGCTTCTCCAGCTTTATGTGGCACACCGTGCTGCGTGGATCCTTTGCTGCATCTTTGCCTGTCTTTGCACCTCATGCCTAGCATGGAGGCAGCTCCAAATGGAACAATACAATGAGCCTGATCATTGCATGCTCTTCCCAAGGAGGGAGAGATATGGAGAGTCTGTTGCGCCCAGGCTCTCCAACAAGCATGTGGGTGAAGGTCGATTGAAAGTGCGCCGTGTGACAGGTCTCCTCATCTTCCTGCAAAGCGATGCTGTCCTTGCTAGGTTACTGTACTGTGTGTAGGTAAGCAAACCGCTCAAGGCAGGGTGAGCTGTAGGAATGACCCGTTGCAGTTGCTTCTTGTCATGGCTCTACGCACCTCTGCTTCGGCGAGAGCTGATGAGGATGATGTTTCCGGACCTTGCTGAAAGCCCTGCACTGATATTCAACACTGCAAAGCGGAAATCTTGGTTTCAACACATAACACAGCACAGCAATCACTCCTTCCCACTGACAGGGCGCTTGACAGCTCGGAGCTTTCCAAACGCCACCAGGCAGTAGCTCCATAGCCTAAAGCGTAGCAGCAGCAGCCAAATATGCGTGCAGGATGCAGGCCAAATCAACAGTCATTGCAGCATGAGCCGCGACCCTGTTTGCGAGCTGCTCGGTTTCGAAACACCTGCTCCTGTTCCTGCCAAAGCACAGTGAACAAACTTAAGGCTGCTTACAAGACTACCTGCCTCACAGGTGACCTTGCACATGAACGAGCCGCGCTTCTTCGAGTCCTCCTCCTTTGCATGCCATGTCGCATCACTGCATGTGCATTTCACTGCTGAGGCGCTTGTGTCATGCCTGCAGCGTCACTGCAGAAACATATCTTGAGGATTATCAGCAATGCCAGTGGACGGATGGCTGGACGAAGCACGGCAAGCTGCCACGAAAAGGATGAACATCATGGTGGCGCTTTGGGGCAAGTTGTCTATTTATGCTGCAGAGGCAAGTCAAGTGAGCTATGAGTTCATAATATCTTCGACTTGAAAGCAAAATGTCTTGTCATGAAAGGCCACTCTGCCTGTCTTAAGCCGACATGTTCAGGATGAATCAAAGAACTGAAGAAAAGAATTCTGAAGCAAGGTTCCACGCGCTCGTCTGGAAATGTGCAGCAATCGATTCCGACCTTGGATGTGCTGCCAACGCTAAGCAGGTCGGAGCAACTAGCCGGACACCAGCACATGAGCAGAGATTCGCAAAGCCTTTGCAGCAGCCCAAGTTGATCAGCCAATATAAACACCGAGGAGCCAAAACAACGAAAGCTGCAGAGTGTGGAAGCCTCTGCTGGATCAGGCATCGAGATTCTCTCCTTCCCGTACTGGCTTGCATGCAAGTAGCTGCTGCCAAGACACGTGCCGTCGAGTGCCCGCAATTGGCGGCGCAAATTGAATTCCTGAGGCTGCTGAGGCCAAATGCAACACGGAAGATCGCGACGAAAGCAAAAAATAATGCACACTTCAAACCCATGCCTGTAGTCATGCGCCATCAATGACACTTGTAAACCTTGAATCAGCATGCCCTGTGCAAGTGGAGCGGGCATTTCACCAAAAGCTAGGAACAACAGGCATGCTGAAGCCGGCCAGGATCGTCCAACTTCAACTCCTTAGCCACACAACCAATCCCAGAATTCTGATGCTCATGCTCATGATGTTAGGAAGAGGGGGTCTCTGCCTTCTGGCATCTATCCAACATGCCGGGATCGGGTTCACAGCCGCAGCCCCATGAAGCTCCTGTCTCTTTCGAGTCTAGCTATAAGGCCATAATGTGCTGAACGACAAACTGGACGGTATCTTCCGCTTGCTAGCACGGATATCTCATTTCTCTCAGATGATGTCTGCAGCTTTGGCGCCACATAACGAGCAGAAAGTCGAAGTGTTCCTGCCAACCAGCGCTTAGGCTCATAGTGTCAGTAGCCGCAGAACCTGAAATGTGAGCTTCCAATAAAAACGGCAACAGACATCCTCCTTAACTAGCGCCTACGAAGGACCTTGAAATGAGTGCAACCTGGTTGATCCCCGCGTGGGAACTCCAACTACGGGATCCGAACGCTGCTGAGGTATGCACATTGCATCATGAATACCCTTTTGTAAGCTGCCTTGTGCGCCTGGCCCGGTGAGGTCAAACTCGCGCCCATCCGCCTGCATCAAAAGCCGGGGCTCTGAATTCCTACCACCATTGCTTTGCCTTCAGCCCCTACTCCTCCTTCCTCCTGCTCTTCCTGCTGCTGCCTATTCTCTCTGCACGAGGAAAAGCCGTATGCTGATTTCCTGCATAGTAATGGCATAGTAATTAGGGAAGGCGTCAGGGCATGTCGTGCTCTTTGTGATTGAACAGCATTTACATTTTTTTTGCTCTCGCCGAACAATTCGCAGTGAAACAAATCCCTTTTAGGCTGGTGGGCCCCTCGCTTTGCAGCAAGGCGTTTTCTCGGCCCGCATGTCTTCTCGGGCAGTCAAAAGATCAGCCCACTGGCAACGGAGCAGCTCGATGTCGTGCCGCAGGTTGCCAGGCATCTCCTCACTGGCAGAAAATCTCAACCTGGCACGACCTTCATTAGTAGGATCCAACAACTCTAGCTCTAGTAGGAAAACACTGCCCCAAAAAAGAAAAACTCAAGCGACGGGAGTCCGACAGGAGTCCTTCCAACTCCTTCCAGGCAGCTTGGCCTAGCTGTGCTTGCTCCGAGTCCGGAGTATGCTCAGCGCAGGAGCCCTCCACCAGCACTTTCCGCCACATGTTGAGATCAATTGCTAGCACATTGGCAGCAGTAAAAACAGCCCCCGCCAAGGTCTCGCAGGAATCCTCCGTGCACTGTGTAGACATGCATGTGTTCAGGCATTGGGTACCCAGTACTTCGTCCAGTTTCTCCACGATTTCAGACAAGGCCTTGTGGGCCTCCCAGCACGCCTTGCGCTTTTCTTCGCTGAGCGCTTCTCTGTCAGCGTCGAAAACGTTGCATGCAACCTCTAATGGCATGGCCGGCGAGCTGATGAATCGCAATGCCTTGGCTGACAGTGAGATAAACTTCGCATAAATCAATTAACAAGGCCACCATCGCCACCATGACCTAAAGCTCACCATCTTGACTGTTCTGCACGCCAGTCACGCGTTTCAAGATCTCGGCCGCTGTGCCGGTCTCTGGTAGTCGCTCAGAAAGCAGAGCGCGGGAGAAGGACTTCATCACACCAACCATGGTCCAGCTGTCTGGCGCAGATCCGTCATCAGCCTTCCACACGAGGTTCAGGCAGGACTGCTTCAGGGCCTGAAGGGAAAGCACACCATAGATGAAAACACATCTAAAGAATGCAAAGCCTTTAAACATGTCAGAGAATCCCTCTCGATTGGCTAATTGCTTGATACAGTACTTGACGCCCAGATCGCCAATCCTGATAGCCAAGAAGAAAACGTGTTTGCGGCCCTACTATGCGAATGGGGACTCTTAAGCTGTGCTTTCTAGGCTAGTACTGAACAAAGGCTGTAACTAGTTGCCCTTGTCCCTCCACCCCCTTGCCACGAACCTCTTTGGATCGTAGAATCATGAAGCCGCGGCAGCGACCGGTCTCTTGGTCCGTTCGCTGCATAGCTTCCCAAAGCAGTGAGAGTGGTACCCAGTGAGGTGGGTACCTTATGGAGGCGGACAGTTGCGTCTGGAAGGGCAAGGAAAGGCTGCGAGAATGTTCCTGCTGAGACACTTAAACCTTGCGACATCCAGGATCAGAATCTGGTCGCTGGCGCGGTGGTAACCCCCAATCGGGGAGTAGTGGCCATCGCCGGTCTGATTCAGAAGCTTCCGGCTATAGGAAACCACAACCACCTCAAGCCAAAGTGAAACAAGCTGAGGCCAGTCCTACAGTGACAAGACAAAGAACCATGGGTGCAGTGCCACCCCAAAGTTACACCCCGAAGAGACCGCGACCCTCACGATGAAAATGATGATCTGTACCAAGCTCTAGACACATGATGTGCTGATAAGTCCAGGCCGTTTCTGCCTGAATTGGATGCCTTCCGGCTGAACGTCATGCTCATCAATAAACGACATGTGGAACTCTAAACCTCGGCCACTAAACTCTTGTCGCTAAATAACAGAACAGCATACTTTGAGGGTCCGGGCACGTGGTAAGTAGGTCACGAATTGGGACAACTAGAATTACACTATGGATTTTAGAGGTCATTAACCTACTTACAAAGTCCCCTGACTCGACATCACCAGGAAGCCCGGAAATTGCTGGACTCAGGGTCTGCTTCGCAGCTCGCGATCACAGCCTTCCTGTCAGGGCCCCAGCTACAGCAATGCCACGGAATTGGCAACAGACACTGTGCGGAGCACAATCTCAATCAGGAGATCTAGGAGAATTCATGCTCTCTACCAGAAGCCGTCGTATTTGAAAGACCCTGGAGCCTGAAATCCTCCTCCACCACGTCTGCCTCATCGGCGCGGTGTGCCTCCACTTGGGCACCGTTGCATCGCGCGAGGCAGACCACCTGAAAAGCTTGGGTGGGAAGAGTGTTCTTCCAATTGCAGAAGACGTCAGGCAAAGCTCCTTTCCCTGAAATGCTACCTATAGACAACAAATCCAAGTGTCCCCTGTAACTTCCGGACCCTACGAGAACCTGGAGAGCAAAGCTCTTCAGCTATGACCCAGACGCCTCAGCCCTACTCCCCGGCCTTGCCAAAGGTGACTCCCTTCTCTTTCACAACCTCCAGGGGCTCGCAGCAGTCCAGCAATTCCTCACCTCAGGTATCTCAAATGAATATGGAGGTGTTGAAATCATGGTTCCCCTCTTGAATTTCATCTACCTGAGCATTGTGATACAGGGGCAGGGGTTTGGAAAAGAAGCGCAGAGAGCACCGAGCACCGTGTGTGCAAACACATATAGCAAGACGCAACTAGGTGCCGAAGTCAAATGTCAGATTGGGACCCACATGGTGTCACCGCCTTCTCCCGCCCAACCATCCTTGCGACCCATAAGCAGCATCGCATCACCTTGGCCTGGATAAGGTGCCTGGTCGTGAAGCTGCCCGTGACTGAAAAGCTTGACCCTCTAAGTCCAAAATATCCTGAACCTTGCCACCCCTACATCCTGCTGGCTGCAAAGAAGCTGAACCATCTCCAGGGCCCCTTCCACAAGCGCCCCGGGTCCACGCCCAGGGCATTCAAAACCATCGCCAGCGTGCCTGCAGCACTCTCCGGGCCACTAGCATTGCCGTCATCATCTGGCTTCACCGCAACACGCAGCATGAACGAACGATCATTACCCAAACCTTCCCTGGTTAAAAGTCTGTCACTGCGCCGGCAGAAGATGCTAATGACAGTCGCTGTCTTGCGGAGACTGCATTTTCATTACCCACCCAGGGTTGTTTATAACGTTCATGTTCGAATGTTCCCTGTACAAGTATGCTAGGGTTTGGGAAATCATAATACCACAAGAGGTAGTGTTTTGCTGGGTTAAATCAAACTTATACTTCAGCGTGTGTACATTGTCTGTTACTTCCTGATCATTTTTGGCTCCCCGGCCAAGACCGCAGTAGGCAGGTTCTGCTTGTGTGTGGAACTGCTCAATGAGGCGGAAGAAGCAGCTCATACTTCCTCAGGGATTAGGGACAGTAGGCTACTGTAGGGGAAAGGATTTCGTGGTTCTGGGCCTGGCCGTCTGATTAGGGTTGAAGGGTGGGGAGGGCTTTGCAAGACCTGTACTTATGGGGCTTCTACCTTAATATCATTGGCCCTGTCTGAGGCCATGTCTCAACAATGGCCGGGCCCCTAAGGCGCAGCCCACTTGAGGGTTTCTCAGAGTGGGGACTCCTTAGGGATCTTGGCGCTATATGAGGAACACAACAGGATGTCTCCAGTAAGGACTTCAAAAAAAAGAGAACATTTTGGAAAACTCCCGGTTCTCGTCCTGCAGCAAGGGCTTCTGCAAACAGAGCCTGGCGCGAAGTGCTTTTCTTAGAGAATCCCATACACACCGGATCATCTTGTATAAAGCCCCTATATACTAACCATGGAGCTTGCAGAACTGCTGTTGTTCTCAGGCACGATAACGTACTGCAATCAGCGTGGCCACGTCGAAGTAAAGGGTTAAGGATTTAGGGTTCAGGGAGTTCTGAATACAGGGGATGTACTGTGGTAGATGGGGATACATAGGAATGTAACAGAAAATGGAGACTACTATTTACGAAGGCTGACCGGCAAGAAAAAAAAGTCAAACAATGTCGAGTGTGGCAGACTTGCGAATTCCAATCAAGAGCCAATCAGCCTTCAACACCATCCAGGGGAACATAGCAGGAACATAGTCGTGCAACTCTGACAATATACCCCCGAGACAAAGCTGCAAACTATTGCAGCAGCAAAGGACCCACCCTTCCTCGAAAGAACTCCCACACACTTGAATTTGCTATACCCCCAACCCCAAAACCCCAAAACCACCAACCCTAAGCGTAAGCCCGGCCACCTGGCCCCGGGAGGACGAAAAAGCAATGGCGGGCTCCGGAAGGGGGCGGCGATGGAAGGTCCTGACGATCCCGGAGAATTGGCTCTTATGGTGGGTAACGCGGGATCTACTCACAAAACTGCAGGCTTTTTTTGGTACAACTTCCTGTACAGAGCACATAAAGTACTTTTGTTGGGGGAGGAAATTGAAGACTACCCATCGGGGGCATACTATCTTGTAGAGGGTGTAAGCTTTCACGTGCAAATCAAGAGTTGTAGGAGGGCTTCTGCAAGAGGTGATTTCATAAAAACACTGACAAGCCAGAAAGGCAGGAGTGCAGGCTTGTCTTCCCCTATTAGGTCCAAAGAGCAGGATTCCTGGGGTCATGTAGGGTTACTCAGAGAGCTAATGGACAATTTCGGGACTACATGCGAGCCGCACAGACATGAGATGTCTATAGGCTCTAGATCTCTAGAATGTAGTAAAAGGCTTTTGGTACAGCCAATCTAGACTAGGAACACATGGGTTCGACTCAAGCTAGTTGATGTTAGTTGGGCAATGGGGCCCTGTAAAGCCAAAGGCATTGTAAAAGACTGCAACTTCGACATGCGTGCTACCACACTTGTCATCTTTGCTCCGCAAAAGCCGGTCCTGGCTACCGGACTGCCCGGTGCTTTCGACATGGGGTGAGCGAAAGGCAGAAGTTTGGTTTTCCCCTCAAGGGTCACGCACGACAGAAAACAGCACAGGAAGACGCAGCGAAGAGCTGCCAGCGTAGCGGACTTCTTGGTGATGATGCTGCTGGTGCGCATTCACGCATCTGTCTGCCCCAAGTGAATGCTTACATGATGTGTTTTTGGTAGCTACTTTCATCTTCTGAAGCACAGAAGGTGATGATGGCAACGAAGCTTACAAAAGGTCGCCAACTCAAGGTTGCAAGCCGTAACAGGCGGTAGAATCTCCGGTATATATAACATCCTACTTCATCTCCCTGGCTTGCCTTCGGTCCCACATGCATCTCATGCTTGGCTTGAAAAGCTGCAACAGTGTCCCCATGCCGTGGGGGTTGCATGGAGCACAAACGCGGAGTAAGTGCAAGTCGTGGAGCCTGCGTGACATCGGAGGCAGTAGAAGATATTGAGCCTAAGCAGCGAGCTGGTTGGCAACCCGACAAACATCATGAAGCTACATCATGTTCTGCCACATTTGTTTGCGTACATTGTGAAGGTTCTTCACGTCGCGTGATGGCAGACAGTTGAAACCATTGCAAGTGAGTGGCCAAGAAAAGTGTCCTGCAGGGTCGCCATGGTGACTTTAAACATGTTGCCGAGATTGCTTACTCATGCATTGGCTGCGATGCCCCAAACTGGACGCGTTGAAAGAATCCCAGCTTTCGCCTCTGAAGTCTTACAGGCTGTCCTCGATGTACGGATTCTCATCATACATATCCACGGTTAGGAGCTGCTCAGAGAGAGAGTAGATCAAGAACTGATGGGTTCCTTCCTCAGCATTTGCGTGCATCTTGCCTGAATTTGCTTGTTACTTTGCAATCTGCTAACCTCTCCAAGCCGAACATGATTTGCTCTACCTTCTTCTGCTGAGCTTCGGCCTCACTCCACTGAGGATTGAGATTCTGAGGGCGAGTGGGCGTACCTGAGCCACAGATGCTAAGCATCCATTTCGACACTCTCAGTGGAGCAGCATGGTCTTCGGTGCTATTGGAGTGGTGACAGGCCTGGACACATGGCCTGTCCATCACAGACAGGCCTCTCACGCAGGCTGAGACGGTTCTCGCATACATTTTGCAGCTACAGAAAGATCATAAAGACCTCGCTTTGACTACGAACCTTAAGCTCAACCTTACATGGTCCCAAGTGCGAAAAGGCTTGCCACCAACGGCCACCAAGCAGTAGGGATCTGAGCCTCGTGTTGTAGGCAGCAAATTCTGTGGTCGAATCTGATCTACGGACATACTACCAGCATACAGGGCTGATAAACGTCAAGACGTTTGACGTTCGTAGGCAGGTGGGGCCATATGGAGGGGGTGATTCTGGCTGTCTTTAATTACCTCATCGTAGCACCTGGCAATGATTTGCACTGAGTGGGTGTACATGCACATCGCTTCTCACAAAATAGCTGTATACATACG